TCCCCAGGGAATGTGATGTGTCCCTGTGTCCCCAGGGAATGTGATGTCTGGCTCTCCCTCGGGGGTTTCCACGAGCGCGGCCCCGACTGGGACACGACCGGACGGATCTACAACTGCCACATCCTGCTGGACAACTCCGGTGGGAGCCCTGGATCCCGACATTCCCAACCCTCCTGATCTCTCCCTGTGTCCCCCTCTGTCCCCAACTGCCACATCCTGCTGGACAACTCCGGTGGGAGCCCTGGATCCCAACATTCCTGAACCCCCAGTGTCCCCCTGTGTCCCCAACTGCCCCATCCTGCTGGACAATTCCAGTGGGACCCCTGGATCCCGACATTCCCAACCCTCCTGATCTCCCCCTGTGTCCCCAACTGCCCCATCCTGCTGGACAACTCCAGTGGGACCCCTGGATCCCGACATTCCTGAACCCCCAGTGTCCCCCTGTGTCCCCAACTGTCCCATCCTGCTGGACAACTCCAGTGGGAGCCCTGGATCCCGACATTCCTGACCCTCCCCATGTCCCCCTGGCACCCCCTGTCCCCAAGATTCCCAACTCTCAGGATGTCCCCATGTTTTATCCCCCAACATTCCCAACATTACCTGGGATGTCCCCCCCAATTCCCAACACTCCCAACATTCCCTGGACTGCCCCCCTGTTCCAAACATTCCCAACCCTTGGCACGTCCCCATGTCCCCCTCTACCCCCAACATTCCCAACCCCTGGGATGTCCCTTCACCCCCAACATTCCCAACCCTTGGCATGTCCCCATGTTCTCTCTATCCCCAACATTCCCCACATTCCCTGGGCAGTCCCCCCATTCCCAACATTCCCTGGGATGTCCCCCCGTTCCCAATATTCACAACATTCTCTGGGCAGTCCCCCCATTCCCAACCCCTGGGATGTCCCTTCATCCCCAACATTCCCTAGAATGCCCCCCCCCCTTCCCCACATTCCCCACAATCCCCACCTTCCCCCGGGTCCCCCCCATCCCCCGGAATGCCCCCCCATTCCCCCCATTCCCTGGAATGCCCCCTCATTCCCTGGAATTCCGGTCTCTCCCAGGCTCCCTGGTTGCCTCCTACAGGAAGCTCCACCTGTTTGACGTGGATCTGCCGGGCCGGGTGTCCCTGCGCGAGAGCGGCTTCACCAACCCCGGCCCCGCCATCGTGCCCCCCGTGGACACCCCCGTGGGCAAGGTACGGCCCCTGTGCCCACCCTGGGGGGAAAGGGGGTCCCCCCGACCCCCAGTGACCCCCCCCGTATCCCGGTATTCCCAAAAAACCCCAGCTGGGCCTGGCGGTGTGTTA